GGACCGGGACCGGGACCGGGACCGGGACGTGCCTGCAGGCCGAGGGCTGGGGGATGTAACCGCACGGCCGTCTGCGGTGTGAGCAAACGTGATTTGCAAGCGGCGTAGAAATTCAGCCGCCGTGAGGGGCGCAGAGGGGGGCATGGTGTTGAGGTGGGGCTCGGTCTGCTCGCAGAGTTTGTTTCGGGCTCTCCGTTGCCAAATTCTCTCAAGCCCCCCTGAGACAGTTGTTGTCCGCTAGCGAGGGGGAACAGACGCGGTGAAAATGAATAACGCCCCAAAGTTCCTCAGCCCATAGCTGAGGTCTAGGGTTCCAGCTCAAGATAAACACCAGCCGCTTACCCAGCGTGGGGCTTCGTGGTGCCCTGGCCCTGGCGATGTGCCACCAGCACGCGGGAGCGGCAGCAGGGAAACCCAGCCCTCGCTTTCCGGTCCGTCTCGTTAAAGCCACCAGAAGCAAGTTCTGCTTCACAGCGGCAATGAGGCCACCGGCGCTTTTGGAATACGTGGGTGATGTTCAGAGGCCGCTGCAGGCCTTGCTACAGAAATTGTAAATGTTGAAAGAGTTCCCAACGTGGCAGTGAATTTGAAGGCTGACAAGTACACTGGTCTCACATCCAAGTTAGCCTTTCACATACTAGATTTTATTCCAAAGAATAAAGCTGTACCCTTTGCGTTGGGGGAAACTGTCACAAGTGACATAAAGCGTAAAGACACCAATATACAGAAAGCGATTCTGTTGTGCTCCCGCTCCAGCTAATTCAGCTTTCCTTTCCCATAAAGGACTCCTTCTTCATGGTTTGGGCCGAGCAGTCATAGGATGGACCGTCGACTCTTCTGCAGGCACTGAAGTGACTTCGTAAACGCCGGCCGTGCGCCGAGGTCCTCACACAGGCAACACTTCTGCTCGGGTAAGGGCCCCCTGTCAGCAGAGCACCACCCAAGTGCAGCCGTCCAGCGTAGATCTGTGGGGAGGGAAGAGTCTGGCCACTGGCACTACTATCTTCTATTACTGTAATTTAGTGGGACTAAGTTATTAACAAAAGCCTTATTTTAATGTTAGAGCATTAAGCAGTTAATTGTGTTAACGTGCACAATGACCTCAGCCTGCTTTCCTATAGCAACCACACCGTGAAAGTCCTTTCAGGGACTTCTTTAGCAAGCAAAACAAAAAATGGGAGCACTGAAATTACGTCTGTAAGGTGTTACTCAGCCTGGAAAGTTTTCTTTTAAGCCAGCAAAGTTTCAGGAGGTAAAGTAGCTCAGTTGCTTGCTCCCTGTCCTGCAGGTCTGGCTTTTGAGAGATTTCCTCTGAGGCTGTATGTCACAGGCTACACTGAGAGCTCCTTATAGCCCAGGGAGCCGCACTTCCCCAAGCACCGGCGCACGCACACGCGCACAGAGCTGCCTGAGACGTGCTTTGTGCTTTCTCATAACAAGTTTCCAGAGACAGCACAGTGAACCATCCCTGTCCCATTACTTATTCACTTAAGAATAATTACTGAAACTTAGAATCATAGAATCATAGAATCATTGAGGTTGGAAAAGACCTCTAAGATCATCGAGTCCAACCATCGACCCAACACCACCAACAACTTGAGCTAAAGGAACCTTCTCAAGGTGTTTTAGTCAATCCGTCAGCCAGATCAGATTTACCTAAACTTTCTGTAACCTGTTCTGAAAAACATCCAAGGCGTACAACACCCATCTCCTTCCACTTGCAGAAACCTCAAGTAATTGGTAAATTTATGATCTCATAAAAGTTGATATACATCCGAATGGCAGTTCCTCTTAGCTCAGAAATATTTTCCTGAATTGCTCTCCTCAAGTCTATCTTGCTAATATAAAGTCCAAGGCACAATCAATCATTCCCGTCCCATCACATTGACCCTTTGAGAATGATTACTGAAATTTGAGTTGAAAGAGCCTTCGGAAATGATCTAGCCGCATGCAAACATTTCCGATTTTCACCCTTTTTTTTTTTAAGGAAGGCAGATTCATATGAATTGTACAAAAAGAAGCCAACTTTTCTTGAATATAGCATAAGTAGATGTTTCAGACACCACAAGGATAATGGTACTTTTAGAGGCGTATTATTTCTGCAGCTGTTTATAAAAAAAAAAGATTGACATTAACATGTTAGGAAGGAAAATGCAAGGGTGATGGAGATTACTAGGTTCTCAGACAGACAGTAGGGTGGCAAACTCCGTGGAGCTGCTGGCCAAAGTATCTAGTACAGAAAATGAGTAACTTTCACATTCACATTTTGAGAACTGATACTGCTTTTCCCTGTCTGAGGTGAGGAAATACGTATGCCATGCGATATTATGTGGATCAAGTAAGCACTCTTGATATTTCAAACCAAGCCTGTCTTAATGAGATGACACACAGTGCTCCACTGCTCACTCTTTAATAATAAACCCCGGCGTTTAAAGACTGTCTGAAAAGTGACAGGCATTTCCAAGGGCTGAAGGTCTCTTGTTCTGGCAGTGCAAAACTGTGAGGCTCTAGCTGAGGGCAGAGCAATAGGAATACCAATTCTTGACCGTCTGTTTTAAAAAATAGATTCTGTGCAACATGTTAAGCAGAGCCCACATTATAATGACGAGAAATAGAATGACAAGAAATGCAGAAGGACTTTCATAGATGTGTTTGAATCAGCTGACAACTACTGAAGTGATCTTAAAATCCACATTGCAATTAAGGCTGGAAGTTTAAAACGATGGTAACACCTTTTCAGTAAAATTGAGCTCTCAGGAGAGTGATTTCTCCTGCCTTTGGGTTTTAGATCGTTCCGTGCATTATAAATCACTCCTCCGCAAAACTGTGCACATAGGATAAGCCCTTCTAGTAAACCTCCCCCTTAACTATTGCAGGTCACCACTAGAAAAAATGTGGCATTTGAAGGTATAATGCATAAGGTGTTTTGGTGTCCTGAGTTATGTAATTCTGAATTTGGCTGGGGAGGAATATGCAGCAACATCAGTTTATTCCTTGAAGAACCCATTTTAAAATGTTTGTACATAGGTTTTTAATCAGCTCCCTCTATTTCAAGAAAATACCCAGCAAATTTGAAAGGCCGGAGGACCTTCAGGACTTGTCTTCCACAAGCCTCGTTCGGCCAAGACCGATTGTGCACTACAGATCCCCCAGATGTTAAGTTTTGTAAGGATTGTTTACCAGGGAGTAAAATCTCTCGCCCATGGCAATAAATGGTCAAATGCAAGTGCTTTTGTCTCTCTTGGTGCCTTTGGTTTTACAGGACCGGGATGGGTTCTTCAGGTGAAAGGGCGATGGCTGACCCTTGAAGAAATACTTGATCACCTAGCTGCTTTCTATCCTTCAGTGTAAGACTGTGCTTTTGTCATTTAAAGGGTTTCCTTTCTTCAAAGGCAGGCTAAAGGTGGCAGCTTGCCTTCTCTGGATGTAAACCTTAAATCCGACTGTGCTGGTGGATGGATTTGTCTGAGATGCCGGAGAGAATTTATACCCAATGGTTAAAACCTGCTGCCTTCTTTCCTCTCATAGACACAAGGAAATAGCTTTTGTCCAGATACAGCATGGTAGCTCCACAGGAGAATACCTGAATATTTTCAGACACTTCACACCAGCATTTCTTGTGGTTGTCAGAGGTTGGGGAATGGATTCAAGACCAGTTAGTGACTGGCCGTAGCTACGATACTCCTGTTGCTGAATTATTTTTTTCTGCGTTTCTCTTGTCCCAGTCTGACACTTGCCTGCAAGTGCCTTTGATTAAGGAGATGAGTGACTTTGCCTGTTCTATTGATCAGAATAAATTACCGGCAGCTAATTTATGGACCTCACAAAAGTGCCTTTGACATGGTGAATTGTGCTCTGTTGTTCAGGTAATTGGGTTGTCAGGAAACGTTATTGGTTACTATACAGTTATCTTACAGAATATTGGCCTGTTTCATGGAAATGGACAAAATCTGTTAAGACTTCCAGTTCCCAGGATGTCATGAAGACTGAGTAAGAAGGAAATAAGCATTCTTCTTGATAGTAGTGACTGTAGTAAGAACATTTTCACTGCTATATGTGGATTTCCCCTCCCCGATTTCTGTAAAAAAGAAAATTACTTTTCTTGTACTTGCAAGTTCAGGGGGCTTGGTGGTTGCCAGTATTGCAGATTCAGCTTAAAATGGGGGAAAACGTGCTGCTTAGGACAGTATTCTTGCCAACAGTGAGATTCAAAGTCTTATAATTGGCTTTTTGATGTCTGAGAAGGATAGAACAAAGCTCATCTTCTTTTCTGGGTATGTTGCAAAGATGACAAAGATAAACTTGGTTCTGTCACACCACCAGAGAACACACAAAACATACAGAAACAACAAATGGGCAGCGGGAAGGTGTTTTTACACGTGGTTGTTTTTACAGACAGCTTCCACACTTGCAGGCCATGACATCTGCAAAAGTGAGAAAAATGCAAACAAAGGATCCTTGTGAGGCTGAAAAATAAAAGCAGCACAGGAGCTCAGGAGCTCACGTGGGGTGTTTGCGTGAAGAGCTCCTACCTGAAAAAGTTTGGACTCTTGTTTTCCTCTAATGCTGTGAAATGAGAATTTTCTAATTGAAATTACAGGAGGCAAAGAAATTTTTTAGCTTAAGACAGAAACAGCAAACAAATAATCCTTTCTGATGATGCCTTCCCCTGGCTGTTTCTGCATGTGCTGTGTTTGAATACATGTATGTTGGTCATATAGTGGTACAGCATTTCTAATTCATTGTTCATTTCCCCAAGCGAGAGGCACACGTAAAGAAGGTTTGTGTTCTTTTTTAGTTACCGGATCTAGATCAGTGGGAGGGTTGATACTAATAGTAGCTGCAGGAAAGTTTAGGTGATTAGTTGGCTTTTGTGTTTAGCTTTGAACACAGTGAAAATTGGGGCAGTTCTTCTATACGAATGTGTCTCACTGTTTGTGTCCCGCTGCTGTGAGGTTCTTTCCGTATTTGTCTCCCTACTGCCCCAAGGGAATGGCACTGACACAGGGATTCAGTAAGGGATGGTCCTTCAGGTAGCAAAACCTGGATTCGTTCAAAGCCCTGAAGAGCAGAAGAGCCCAGACTGGGCCTATTTGATGGGGAATCACTGCAGGGAGATGCAGTGTGGGATGCCATATACCCAGCAGAGCACTTTTGCAGAAGCCTGTGTCACAGCTTTCTCCCTCAATATCGAGAGTCAAGTCACTAGAGCCTCAGTGTGACCATAGCCAGAGGCAGGTCTGGCTGGCTTGGGTGTGCTCCCCGAGCCAGCCACCAACAGAGGAGTGCATGTGTGGTCTTGGCACCTGCAATGGTGGCCAAGCGCAGCACAGAGCTTGAACGGGCCCCAGGGCTGCAGATGGACCTGCCAACAGGCTGCTGGGCTTTGGTTCTCTCTAGGTCCTGCAAGAGCAGTGCTGAGTGCCGTGGGGTGTTTTTGTTTATATCCTGCTGGCTCTGGAAGTCTCATCTCAGGAAATGCCAAACCTTTTTGATTCCTATGGGAACATGGGAATCGTCTCTCAGCAACCCACACAACTGCTCCACAAGGTCTGTGTCAAACAGACCTGGTCAGGTCCTGGTGTGGTTGGAATGAGGGAGCTGCACTGGTGGGAGCATCATGACCTTTGGAAGCTCTCTAGCTGATGACCACATCAGTTTGTCTATACACAGGGCTAGTTTCCTTCCTCGGGAAGAACTCAATGCTTACACCAGGAGTTTGTCCACCCAGCAGCTTTGTAGACCCCAGGGGGAAGGAATGGTTAAGGAACGGCTTTTCTCCACCCTGTTCAGTCCGGGCCCAGTACTGATAGCTGAAGGAGGGCTTGTGGGCAGCCCCCCTCTGCCATTCCTTCTGTAGGATCTCTGTGATTCTTAGAACTCCCCTGAGTTTTGGGTTATCAAGTGCCCCTTGTTGCAGCTGCGTCGTCTGCAGAATGGCTCATTTACCGAGCACAACAACAGGCTCCTGTTTGGGCAGGATTCCACTGGCAGTCCATGCCTGACCTGGAGACCTTTGATATTTTGGCTGGCAGACTAGCTGTCTGTGCCCTGCTTGGTATTTCCCTGTAAAATACACTCTAGGTTGTCCTTTCTTTAGGAAACATTACCCTTCCTCCCACTCCTTTTTGAGTCCAAGCATCACTGCGAATGCTCTTAGCTGGAAAGGCCACCCCTTTCCGCAGTGAGCGTGCAAACCCACTACCCACTGCTTCCTTACCGGACAGCACAGTGTTCCAGCTCAGGAGGTGTCTCTGAGGTCCTGCAGCTGGACACATCTGCATTTCCAGCTTTGCTTCCTGGAGGGGACATTTTAAATGTACAATACAGCTGCGTACTGCCAGCATCAACACGAGCAGGAGAGGCCCAAGAGATTGGGCTGCTTTGGGCTGGTATTTCCAGTGGATCCTCATACTTTTTGGTGATATCTTTGCCTGCTGTTACCAAGGGATGACAAGACACATTGGAGGACTTTATGAATTGTTCTGATGGGAAGAGCACACTTGCCTATACCATACCTATCTTTTGATCTTGTTAATATTTTGATCTACTTCTTGCCTTTGAAATTACGCGGAGTTTTCCTTTTCCTCCTCTTTTTCAGAGAAAAAGGTTGAGAGAGACATGGAGCTTGAAAGAATCATTCGAGACACACTGACATGCTTCATCCAGTCCCACATCCCTGCTGCAGACCTCAGGTATGTTGAGAAAGAAAGATCCAATATCGTTGTTCTAGCCTGAACTCTGCATTAATTGTCCCTCTGCACATTATACTGAACTCCAAGTGGAGCTCTGTAGCTTTCCTGTGCTTTGTGTTGCTTTTCCTTAAGTCAGATCCAGGATGCAGGTAATTTGCACAGGCTCTGATGGGAATGCTTGAACAGCTATCGTTTAGCATTGCAATCTAGCAATGTCATTTCTTTGACGACCAAGATGATTAATTTCCTGTCCCGTAATACACATGAGAATATGGGATTCCCTTCATTCCACAGTGCTCCCAAAGGGCTTTCTGAGCAGCATAATGCTATGTCAGGGCTCTCCCTATTTTGAACTCTGCCTGCATGCAGAGATACAGCCACCTTGAGGCTAGAACACAGCAGCTGGTATCCCAGACAGGGGCAGCAGTGACACAAGTGTGGAGAGCAGCAAGCAGAAAACACTGCATCCCATAGGAATTGCCACTTGACAGAATATGATTTTGGACATGACATGATGAAAAATGTCTTTACTGAAAGAGTGGTTAAACATTGGAAGAGGCTGCCCAGGGAAGTGGTTGAGTCCCCATCCCTGGAGGTATTTAAAAGACGTGTAGATGAGGCACTTAGGGACATGGTTTAGTGGACATGGTGGTGTTGGGTTGACGGTTGGACTTGATGATCTTAGAGGTCTTTTCCAACCTTAATGATTCTATAATGATCTCACCTGAAACACCAGTCAGCATAGAAAAGTCAGGGTTTGAGCACTTGGAATATTTTGCTTAGCTCAGGTGAAGCACCTACAGGAGCACAGCTTCTAGGCACACGCTGCGGCTTTTGTTCAGTGCTGCCCAGGAAGGAGGACAGTGTGCAGTATTTTATCTGTAAATGCTTCCCACTCAACCACTGCTACCTGGCTTTACTGGTGGGATCTGCCCATAAGATACAGTCCACATAGGTCCTTCTGCTGCTCTATTAGAAAGACACAAGGTTAGGGGGAATGGGGATGGAGAGAAAGAGAGAGAAAAAATGCGCCTGTTGACCCTGCTGCCACGTCCTGTGTGCTCTCTGTCTCCAGTGGGATGGATGATGTTTTCTTCTCTTATATCACGGGTGTCCTGGAAGAGCTGGGCTCACCAGAGTCCTCTGAGGAGACCTTTGACATGGACACCTTTGTGGAAATGATGGAGGCATATATTCCTGGTTTTGCAGAAATCCACAGGTATGTGAATGTTACTGCTTTGTGTGTGCGTGCCGTGCACTGGGGGACTGGACCCAAGCCCCTAAGTACCATAAATTCTTTTGTTCTACCTACTCGAAGAGGTATTAGTACCAAACCATTATGACTAAGTCAGGCTTTGCCTGAATACACAAATGCTAATCCCGGTATAGTTTGCAAGTAGATCCTTGGCCATCTGAAATACCAGTTTATCTTATTGGGCTTCCCATCAAGCCTTGTCTTTCTAAAAAGAGGTAGCCAAGTAGGATAAGCTACTACTTTTATTCCTCACAGTAATTACACACAGCTTCTGTCTCTTGCAGTGGGGATGTTTGTGAAATGATGTTCTCCCTCTCAGAAAAGCTTGGTGAAGCTCGCAACAAAGGTGAGTTACACAGACCATTTCAGCACAAGAAAGTATATTCTGCACACATTTTCAGTATTATTGTTTGGAGTTGAGCAATGTCACAGGATAAAATAGAATCTTGTTTGCTACTGTTAGGATCTCATAGGGTAGCCTGAATTGGTTGACAACGGTTTTTTGTAATGTTCAGTTGGGGTTTTTATATTAATACTTGGGAGGTTTGAGTCATATGGAATACTGTCCAAGACACTATGATGAAGAACACTGGACCAGATCTCCAGATATCTCTGTTGAGATCAAATCCAGAGTAATAAGGAAGATATAGCAGAGACAGGGCTGCTTGTTGAAATTCTACTGTAGGTTAATTCTGAAAGTGAGGATTTCTGCCTGCTTCTGATAGCAGTCTGCCTAAGCGACACTACCACTGGGCAGCCCATGTCAGGTGCATCATTAAATAGAGAATCCAGCTGATTATGTGTATCACTTCTAGACTTTGAGCATCCTCAAAGCTCACTTCCCATTCACCCGTGAACCCTGGCACGTACCCAAAATCAGCAATGATGTGCTCTAGCCTGCACCATGCAGGACTGCAGAAGACCACACTATCCCAATGGCCCTTTCTAACCTCAGCATTCCCAGATCAGCTGGATTGCTATATTAATCAGCCCCAAAGGTACTTACCGCTAAAGAACAGATGGGTGAAGTGCCTGGATATTAAACCTTTCGGGACACACCAGCCTGGGGTTTGCTTATCTAGCAACATCACTGCTGCCTTAACAGGAGCCAGAAGGCTACAGAGCATAGAACAGGCAGTCCTGTCTTATCTTACTTGCTGCTTTCTTGAACTTGACAAAACCTACTGCTCTGGTCCCCTGCATCCTACCCTTTGAAGATTCTGATATAGCCAGAGAGTGGAAGGACAGCACCATCCCAGTTTCAGAGAGGACAGAACAGAGGTGAAATGATTCTTCTTGCAGTGGCACAGAAAGAGCCTGTAGAGAGAGGTGCATCAGAGTAACCTGATCACAGGATGTGCTGGCTCACATACAGCCCGGGGACTACCGGAGTGTATTCCCAAATTTAAAATCAAAACCACGCCTTAAGTTCAAAGTTAGAGCAAGCACCAGGGAATTCTTAGAAATGTAACAAAAATACCATAAGTATCCACAGCCAAAGCGCTAGCGGGCCAAGAATTGACAGGTAGAACTGAATTCGCAAGCAGCCCATGCCCAGTAAGGCCTGGAAATGCAGCGCTCGGGCACTCCAGTGTGCGCTAGCACTGCCTTCCTTCAGGTCAGTGTGAGCAAAGCTGTAGCTGTCCCCGCTGAGGGCAGGGGGACCAGTAGTGGTTCCCAGTCTTGTCAGTTAAGAAGGGATTTGCTTTGGCACACAATGCACTAGCAATCTAATGCCAACAGAAAGCACAGAGCTCTAGCCTTAGTGGGACTGTTCCTCAGAAGATATCACTCTGTCTTTAAGAAAAACCTGGCCAAAAGGCTGTGGAAAGCAGGAGTGAAGCACCCTCTGGAGACCTGACCAAGGGCCAGGAGCCTGGAGCCGGAGCTTGCAACGGGGAAAGGCTGTGCACTCCAACAGACGGAGCCGGGGCCCAGGTATGAGCACCCCGCAGAGGAGCAGGAGCACTGGGGACAGTCACCCAGCACAAGGCTACCAGCACCACCCGAGGGCATTTTCTGGCTCTGGAAGGAACCACAGCATAGGCTGTGACACAGCATCACTGGTGTCTGTGATCTCCTCCATTGTATGGCCTGAGCAAAACTGTCAGTAAGTGGAAAAAGAAAATTATGTGCTGACAGAAGAGTATGAGCCATCGCTCTGGCTCATCCTTTCCAGCCACTGGAAAGGATAAGCCAGAGCAATGGTTGAGAAAGCCTGTCCCAGTGCCCTCGGAGATCCCACAGCAGCACAGTGGGGATGCCTCTGCAGCACTAGCCAGGCTCCACCCCGCTTCACCCTGGTCCCCTAGCCTCAGTCCACAGTTTGAACTGGATCGCCATTTCCCTCCCCAGCTATCATGCAGTATCTGCACAGGAAGCAGTCATGTCTGGGTGTCAGTCCTGAAGACGCCGGTCCCACCCTCAGTGACCTGTGCTGTGCACTTACTGAGCTATACAGCACCGAGTCATCGGCCCAGCGGTCCTCATCCTGCAGCACCATTCAGCATGACCCGTGCTACAGGCATTGCAGCACCTGGCAGATCCCCCCACCTCCTTCCCCCACGCTCTGCTTGCTGTTTCTCCAGTACCGATCTCTTCCTGCTCTGCAGCTCAGCCATTCTGTGTCCACAGCCTTCTAGCAAATGCTGCTGCTGCGCTTTCTTCTGATGTAGCCACGGGTTTAGCAGTCCCTTCCCTTTCTGATCAAAGAACATACAACTTCACAAGGTGAGGGGGAGTTCAAGCACTCGTACCACAGTGTCCAGAAAGCTCACTCCTAAGGAGACACATAGCATGGCCACACAGATGAGCCAGTTCACAGCAGCCCTACTTCAAAGAAAGTTGAAATACAGGGGGAGGAGATTAAGGAAGAGTAATGCTTTTTCCTTGCAAAGGTACAATCCCCCTGTTAGCTTCAGGAATGGCGTTTAGTCACGCTTGCAAGGAGAGTAAGCCTTCAGCTAAGGGCAAGCTGAATTTCCTGACAATGCAAAACCAGAGAGGCCCTTTTCAATAGCCTGCTCCTTACTACATCCCCAACTTACCTCTGTCTCTCTTGCTCCAACTAGGAAGGTGATGACTTGAAGGATGGGGTGGAGCTGCTACTGGAGATGTTCCCAGCCTGTACCGTGAGCCAGGCGGAGAAGGCACTCACCATGGCCTTGGGGAACTTGGAGGAGGCAGTGCAGTTAATTGTGGAGGAGAAGGTGGAAATTGGCCCAGCAGGTGCGAGTGTGAAGGTACTGTACTCTGAGCTGGGTGGCAGCGGGCCAAGGAGCAGGGCAGAGCTCGGGGACACACAGGTGTCCCAGCTGTCTGCTGCAAGCAGAAGCTTTGACCACAGGAATTTTCTCCGCCAATGAGCCAGGGGAATCACCCAGAGCAACAGCCCCTCTCCGTCCCTTGGCTCTCTGAATAAGGCTGGGGCCCACAGC